TATACTACATTCACAAGTATGTATTACATAACATCGGCACATACATAATTCATGTTTAATTAATTATATATACAACTAGTGGTAGTGTCGTAGTTTCGGACTACGGATACGCAATTAGACAAAGAACTCGTAGAGTATGTGACAAGTATCTTTACTCAAACAGAACCACCGTGCATCACTGTCGTGCCAGTGCTGCCATCTATCGTGACATATAACATAACTATAACAAACTATGACACCAGACCTCTTTATACACTGCTTATGAGGAACTGTCAACAGAAGGGTTTCTGTCAACAGTCAATGAAAAAAATCACATGAAAAATCGAATGAAAGACTGCTGTTAAGATTGTTAAGATAATTTTTTAATTTCTGACAACAAGCCCCAGGTTGTAAGACTTATTTTGTCTCTGACAACGGCCCCGGGGCGACAGGGTTGTAAGACTTGCTACTTACGTTCTCGTGATCATTGTTTCGTTTTAGGGCCAGTTGGTGGCAGCACTGATCGACATCCTGCGACTGATGGACGACAACCACTACAAGCAGCTGTGGGAACAATACGCAGACGATCTGAAAACACTGCGAGTGAGTCTGACCTTCGAACCTCGTGACCTTACCGCGACCTTGAACCTTTTGCGACCTCTATGGCTCCATCTTACCTTGGCTTATCGGAGCTCTGACCATATGGAAGATGTTATTCGTGTTTAGACCTTGCTTTTATTTGTAGCTACGAAGTTACTAAATAAAAAAAAACTTGTCTTCGTTTGTTGCTAATGAATCATCGCAATACCAGACGTGACTGAAAGACAAATGTTTTTATCAACAACAGCAGGGTGCGAAATTAACGGGAGTCCGGAGTCTAATACTCCCTGATTTACTGTCGGACTCCCTGATTTGACATATGCAGGAGTCCGTGTGACTCCCTGAAAATTCTGCCATACTAACTAGTTCGTTTCAGAGCACGGCCTCGCGGAATTACCATATTTTTTCAGCAAATTTCCAAAGAAAATTTGGCAGACGTGCAACCGCATGAATCTTCAAAATAAGCACATGCGTTATTGTTAATATCTTTAATTTTGAACTTCAGACTGCGGACTCTCTCATTTTGTTGCGGACTTCCTCTTTTTGAGGGTAGGGAGTCGGTTGGACTCCCTTTACTTGTTCAAAAGTTAATTTCTACCCCTGCAACAGCATCGAAAATTTCAATTACTCTCACCATGAACGCAACCACTTTGATGCTAGTTGTTAGATGATATCGCTTATTGACATTGAAACTGATGATTAAATTCATAATTAGTTTCTTTCGCGTCTTTGCTCGCGCCGCGCGTGACGCGATAACGCTACAGCGCGTGTGGCCGCTGGCCGCTGGGTTTTTCGTCAACGAGTCGTGCAGGGAAAAAATCCCTTTTTTTTCACGGGAGCTCTTTTCCAAAAGTCTGTGGGGAAAAATAGCTCTTGTCAAAAATTTTACGGGAGCTATTTTGAGCTTCGCGGGAGCGATTTCGGAGGTTTGAAGAGCGAATCGCTCATCGCTCCCGTGTATTTTTTACCCTGGAGCCGTGAGATGTTGATGCCGCGTGTTGACCTTTCAGGAGTTTCTGCTCAAGGTGTTTGTCGTCTTCCAAGAGCTTGTCAGAGGTGACGTGTTCCCGCCGGACTGGATGGTCATGCGCATGGTGACAAACAGGTGAGCGGTGTGTCACCCGTGTGTCACCCATGTGTCACCCATGTGTCACCCGTGTGTCACCCGTGTGTCACCCATGTGTCACCCATGTGTCACCCGTGTGTCACACGCCGTGGTCACCACATGTGTCACCGCATGTTCACCCGTGTGTCACCCATACGTTCATCTCGCGCCGGGACGGTCGGGGGGTCGGTGCAAAGCGAGTGTAGGCCGTTGGCTTAGGTTCTATCGTTACTGTTTAATATTTGCCCCTGAACATCATCGAGGCTGGCTATCACAAGCCATAGATTCAAGATTGCTATGTTCAACGTATGCGTCCACGTTATCAGATTCAGATTGGTCTTAAATTGAGTCTGTAATATTCATCTTTTGTATTGTAGACGTTGTCAGAAGACAAAATTCGGTCTTAACTTAGTCTTAATATTAATCTTTTATATCGTAGACGCATTGGCAGAAAGCAGAATTAGTCTTAACTTGAACTTTTTCCGAGCTGGTCAGAATGAAAGTTAGCCTTAATGTTCAGTGCTGTAAGCTTTGCGCGTACGTGAAAGAGCAC